ATACCCTTTATAATCTTATCAAATTGGATTACTTTCGTTGATTCCTACGGTCATGATCGCTAGTATATGGGTTTTCACTTATTGGGGTTTCTCCACTTTTATCGGCGATTCTTGTGTTTATCAGAATTGGATTAGAGACCATTAGATTCCGATTCAGAAAAATTGCATTTTTTATTCATTTCACTCGAGTTGGTCTCTGTATTGATCTGACTGTGTCATCATAGAGTCTATGTTCAGTGTCATGCTTTTCTCTATTATGGTATTTTGACCCAAATTTCTCAAGAATCGTAGATTCGGTTTCGTTGCTCGTGCTTTGATAGTCTGCTACTGGATATTGTTCACGCTGGTGTTCTTTTTTCAATTGCAGAAACTGAGAACGAAAGGATAGTTCGGGAATTCGCCCTTTTGCTCGATGCATCAGACGCTTATACGAAAGCTGTAAGATACTTCACTCTCTGAAGTTAGGTGTTTAAGGACATATAATCAACAATTTGAGTGTGTATTGATACATGTGTTTACATAGTTTGATTGATTTGTGTTTTGTAACAGAGCGGGTTAAAAGCTAAAGGAAGTGAAAATGAAATCTCAACTTTGGCTGAAAGGTTTACCTTTTCTCTCATCTGTTTAGTTTCATATACTCTTTTCGATGATCAATAGCCGGTATATCTAGATGATGATGCTAGTTTTTACATTAATGTCACTGATGGTGCAGGTTTATGGGACTCAAGGCTGCTTTAGTAACCGACAATTCTACTCTGAATTCTTTCGGAAAACTGATTGGCTTAGATGTATTGCAACTTAGTGAAATGTGCGAAAAGAGTGATTCCTTTCCTTCTGTTGCCACGGCATCTAAACTGCTAAGGCTTCTTGGATTTGAAGGAGGAAAGTGCTTGGATGCGAGCCTATATGACTCGGTTTTTGTGCATATCGGGGTTGATGAGAATGAGAACAGCTTGGGAATTCTCGACTCTTTGACTGGTAGTATTATGAGAATGGCTCTACCAGGTTCAGAGATTGGATCGCGCTTGCATCTCTCTGTTATTCTTAGCTATGGTTCTGTCACAGACAAAGATGTTTCAGTTTTTCCTATTAAGACTCCACAAGAAGACATTAACCCGGCGTTTGCAGGACTTATCCCACGTCAGAGCTATACCATGCGAGGTGAACAGACACGTGATGATGTCCGGTAAGAGATTTCGTTTCTTAGTCAATGGCAAAAGAATTAAATGAATTTTTTTTTTAAGCTATCATTCCGTTCCGTTAACGGGTTTGGTATTCTTTGTAACCTATAGGCACTACTGTCCTATGTTGGTAGCTCAGTGGCAGTATGGGGTCACTCGGAACGACTTAGTTGTTACATTATCATTTGAAGCTCTAAAAAAGGTTTGGCTTCTATTTAATGCAAGTTCCGCTGTAATATATACTGCATAGTTTGTCTCAAGGTTTTTTTTTTCTCTTTATTCATCGTAGCTCTGTGGAAACCTTGTTATACCGGCTGATCGGTTCATCCACGAAGTTGCTTTCAAACTTTGGAAGGCGCCAAAATATGGAGCTTAAACGAAAACGAAATTTCAAGTATTTAATTGTAATTGTCTAGTCCGGATGAGTTACATACACTTTCTGATGTTGGAGTTGATTGTGGATTGATCTCAAATTTACTAACTTTACATAAAGGCAAGAAACAAAAGCTGTTTTTGTTTGGCTTCTAAATTTCCGCATCTTGCTATATCATATACACAAAAAAACTAGAGATTTAACCTGTTTGATCTTTCCTAGGACATGGAAAGTGTTAAGATTATGGATTTTCTTGATGCAGGTGGTAGTTAGTAGCGCCGATCCAAGACATTCTCAGTTCGTCCTCATAAAGCCTTTCGCCTTTATTGTCTATTGTTATCTTCCTTAGATATAGTCCTCTCTTCACCGCCCAAATACACTGTTCCTCCTCTGGATTATCGCATTTCCATCTGAAATTCCTCTCCCCGGCAAAAACCGTTGCAATCTGGCCATAAGGCGAGCTAAAAGCGGTGAAGAACTTACACTCAAAGTATGTGTAGAGGAATGGTATCTTGACAAATACCGGCGTGAACGACCAGCTTTTGGATTGGCCTGGTTTGAGCTCATGCTTAGCCAATTTGTCATTAGCTGACCAACATTCAACCGCGAGGTTCCGGTTTCGTCCTGGGTATTTGGCAATCTCGTTTCTTATCTCAAACCGGGCTGCTAATGTGGTGGATGGCATGCAGTCTAATGCGATGAGAAGGCACCATGTGAATGCGGTGGCTAATCGGAATCTTGAACTGATCTTTAATCCGAACCCCATTGCTCCCTTGAACTGTTATGTTTTTTAAAATTGTTTTTTGGGATTTATATAAACAGGAGTGGTTGTTTAAATTTTAAACAAAAAGAAAAGAATGTGGTTTTAGATGTTTTATGTTCGATTAGATTCCTTAATTTTCGTGAGTAACAAAGAAACAAACCTCTGGAAAGTCTTAATTTTCTTTATATTTCTATGTATTTCCCATAGCCTTGTAATTTTGGCATTTTTGTTGCATTTTGTAAGGGTGTTCAATCTTGGTTTTGGTTTCGATTCGGTTATAAACAGTTTTGATTTTTGTTGCGATTCCATTATTAACAAAACTGATCTTTAGACTTTAATTTATTTAAAAATAAAATCACGGAGATTGAATTTTTAGTTTGGTTTTGTTTGTTTTCTCTTGGTTTGATTCGATTTAGGATATGAATTATTTTGATTTGGGAAAAATGAAACCGAAGGGTTTTATTTTCTTACCGGTTCAGTCTGTATTTAGATCAGGCAAGCCTAATATCATCTCTAGTATTTTGGACTCGAGGGAAGAATGTGAGAGATCATCTTAAAGAGAGCTTAAGACATTACATGAATGTTTTTTGCCCAAATTATAAAGTAAATGCAAATGCAATAAAAAGATAGCTCAAGGGCGTTAAAAGCATAAAAGCTGAAGCTATAAGGTAAAATGGCATGCAAAATATCCAGCTGGATTCATTATGGCTCACAAGGATTGTAGTCACATCGATCAGGTTTAGTAAATAACTTAATATCTTATAGAATTGTACACAATATGATTCCGTATGTAAATTATTCACGTGCTCCTACAGACTTAGAATTATCAGATACATTACATGAGTGGCAAAGCAAATTATGGTTGTCGTCTACAATTCACCCGTACACTTCCAAATTTCAACACAAGTTATGATACATACATCGACAGTAGTACAAACAATCTACGAGGCTACGAATCCTGGTCGAGTGGCGAAACAATACAATTCTTAACGAAGCTACACGTACCAACATGGACTAAGGACCTTATTTCCTCTTTGGAACGCATAACCATTGGTAGAGGTGGTACCAATAATATATAGAACCAATGATATGGCTCAAATCTAGAATGTATGTCTAGTTTACCATTCTTCTTATTATCTCAAAAACTAATACATGTCGTAAAAAAATTAGGTAAAGAATAAAGAAATATTACATTGCTCTAGTTGGTTCACAAATGAAAAAGAGTTACAATATTAAAAAAATCACCATTTCCAAACCCATTTGCTTCGACGAACATCAAGTTTTTAAAAAAAGTCTCCATTCTTTACGACTCTCCTTTGATAGAATCCGTCTCTTTTCGCAACCCAAATACACTCATCTACGCCTGATTCCGCTGCATCACACTGCTTCAGAAACCCCTCACGTACCGAAAAAACCGTCACTATGTCTTCATTCGTCGTCCCTAACCCGCTCCGAAACTGGCAACGGAACTCCGTTTTCTTGAACGGCCACATGTTCATTGTCGTGAATGTCCAGCTCTTAGCTTTCCCTGGCTTTATCACGGACCAACCGAGATCGTCTTCGTTCGACCAACACCTCACGGCCATCTTTGCTTTCCAGCCACGTAAACCGGTGATCTCGTTCTTTAGCTCCACATGTCCTGCGGTAGTTGGAACTGGTAGTATAACGCCGCGATGGTCACTGTCGTTAGGACAATGTACCACCTCGGGATGTTCCTCATTCCGATCTCTTGATCTACCTCTTTTTGTTTTGTTTTTATGGATTTTTCTTTTTTAATATAAAGTTGGATTTTAATGAGTTTTAGGGTTATTAGGCAAATAAGAGTCATCTCTTCCGATTTGTAATTTCTACAAGGCATTACACGTTTTCCTTATTTTTGGAAAGAAGGAAAACAAAAGAACATAGATTCGAAACTGAAAGATAGAGATGGACATAAGGACCGATATTTCCCGAGCCAAACGGTAACAATAGTTTTATACCACACATATCGAGCATGAACCGAATTAAATCCAACCTAATCGAGCTAAACCAAATTAATAAACCAAAATTTATTTTAAATTAATATACACTACAATATAATTAACTATATCTATATTAAAAGTTTATGATTTTTTTTTTTTGGATTAATTAGCTGAATATTACTTTGGGGATAGATAATTAGGAAACTAACATGTCTATAATGAGATTTAGGTAAGTAGCAAAAAGAATAAAAACTAAGACGAAATTGCCTTTATGGAATTTATTAAGGAAAGTAGTAAAAAATCTTTAATGAAAATCTGTAAAAATCTTTTCCTGCAAGATACGTTTTTATTTTTGACAAAAATCAATTATGGAAACTAATTATCTCTCCTATTTACCCAATTGTTGTTATTTTTGACGGAAATCAATAACATAGTTGACTATTATCAAAACTACATATTTTATTGATTCCATAATATAGTTAGCTATCTCGCACTGTTTTGTATCTATCTAAAACATAGTTAACTATTTTTAGAAAATAGTTATCAATTTAAAAGTATATAGTTAACTCTTTTCAAATCATAGTTGTCTAATACTCCGATTTCATAACATAGTTGGCTATATGTTTTCATAGCATAGTTGTCTACTCCCATTTCATAATATAGTTCTATATGAAAATGTAGTTACATATTTAAACAACATAGTTAACTATGTTCAGAAAATAGTTACCTATTCTAATTTACATACTGAAAAAGAATACATACAAAGTTAACTATTATTATCCATTATAGTTTTCATAATAAAAAAGAATAACATACATAGTTAACTATTATCAGAAACATAGTTATCTAACTTTCGAACATAGTTAACTATATTGATCTCTATGGGCGACTCAGTTTGACCAGGTGAAGGCACGATAGTGGCGAGTTTAACAGAAGAAATAAGCACCATCTTAATTCTTGACTCAAAATTTTTGATCCATAATAACGAGATAAGACAAAGTGATTGAGAGTTGATTTTGTGGATCACCAAAGAGAGACGAGATCGATTATGGCGTTTGT